TTATACACGTAATTCAACTTAAAGTAAGATCAGTGTGACTTCTGTTGTTGCAGATTAGATGACCAATAACTTATATTAGGTTGTAAGATGTTAGTTTAAGTAGGATTGTTGATTTTCTTTGCTCGTTATTTATTGCTAACTTGTTTTTTACGGTTATTAATTGTTTTTTTAGTATTAATTTTTTTATTAATAATTGTTTATTATTTTGTTTGTTTTTTGTGAATTTTAATTTAATTGTTACATATGCTTGATAGCGTAATAACATTTGTGTAATAACAATTCATAGTGTAACAACAATTGTGATGGGTGGAGTGCCCAAAATATTGTGTCGCGTGCCATAAATGGCACGCGTGCCATTGGTTCGCCATCCCTGATCTAGACACTACTTGGTGTAAAGTAACCGCTGCCATTTCCTTTTAATTCTGCAACTCTAAAATTTATAATTACAGAAAGATACTCAAGAAAAGCAATAAATGTATTCTTACAAGACAATATAAAATACGAATCAGTAATTTAAGTTTCATACATAATTCTGAAAATTTGCTTGTAAATCAAACATACGCAGAAAGGAAAGTGGATAGAATTTATACATTATGAAAACATTTAATATGAATATCAGAGATTAAAAATTAAAATGCAAATATCTATTTTATATAACTAAAAACATGTTTCAACCGTGAATTTTATTTTCTGTGGATGAAAAGCAGTATTGGAAACAACCACAAACACTAGCCAACTCGTCATCGATTGAAACAATTAGAGACGGTATCCAAAACACCTTAACATTGGAGTTTTCAGAAGCAGAATTAATTATCGCTTAATGTGAAGGCACGTGATCTTAGAATAAACTTTATGCATTTTAGGTGTTTAGAGGTTTCACATACCGTTTTAGTTGTATGTATTAAAAAGCATCATATCAGTTGTATTTCGGAGAATGTTTATTTCCATTACAGCTCGGATTATCCCGCTAGCCTGTATGATATACTTTGTCGTTTGTTTAGGAATATTAAAGTAAAACTATTAGAAATTAGTAAAAATTATATAATTGAAAATGATTGTAATTTCCGTTACAGTTGCAATTTTTGCTGTGGAACTGGAAAAGTAACATGCGACACCTGTATTGGATACGGAAAACTCAAACATTATGAAGAGCTTATTGTTACATGGTAAGACAAAAAATGTTTTTTTTTTTTCAGTATAATCGATTTCATTTAAGATTTCTTGTTTGAAATATAGATTTTTGATTTTAGAAGAGGGAGTGGAGTATAAAATGCTCGAGGTTAAAAATCGCTGTTGATTTCTTTTTTCTTCAAGAATAGGGAGTATTAGTAAAATCATTTATCAAAATTCAAAACTTCGATAAAAATTTGCCTTTGTTGATAAATGTTTTTGAAAATTTTGAATAAAATACTTAATTGCTGTGGAATAAAATTAATGATAAATAATAATAAATATGAATAAATAATAATAAATATGAATAAATAATAATAAATATGAATAAATATGAATAAATAATAATAAATTATAATGAAATACAATAGAATAAAATACAATAAAATAAAATACAATAAAATAAAATACAATAAAATAAAATACAATACAATAAAATACAATAAAATAAAATAAAATATAATAACAAAACATTGTCTTATGAAATAAATTTAAATTTCATTTTTTGAGGTAAACTTTTTTAAAAAGCATAAATATACAAGTCTTAAATCTCAAGTTCAAAAATAGAAAATTTAGATTACAAAAAATCAGTAAAAAAGGGCAATACTTAAATTAATTAATACTCGAAAGGTAATACTTAAATAATTTTTTTTTTATCGAATTTAAATTAAAACTTCATTGTTCCAGAAAATATTTGCTCCGTGTAGCTATTTAAATTTGCTGTCACTATTATTTTTGCACAATATTTTTAAGAACTTCGAATTAAAGGAGTAATTAACCAAGAAAAGAGTTATTGAAAGAATCATTTGCGTTACATTTAACGCTAGCAAGAGACAAAAATGACTTTAATTTCTCAATATTCAAATGAATAAAACTGTATGTATTGGTAAACGTATGTGTGAAAAATGTTGGAGCTTGCCTATTTGTGTTAAGTTTTATTCTAGATGTTTTTACTCTAATTAAAAAGAATAAATTTATTTAGAAATATTCATTTATTGTTGTTATTAATATCTGTATTGCAGGAAAAATAACGTTGACAATTTCGTCGCCAATCCCATGAATATACCAGAAAAGCGACTTATTAAAGCTCTTGGTAGAATAATTTTTATTGAGGAGAATCCTGTGGTATGTATGATCGTCGCTTTGAAACTAAACCGTTGTAACTCAAAAAAGTCGAAAAATGAGATTTTTGGGTCATTTTGTGTAAAAAAAGTCACCCTTTTAGAAAAACAACCTGTTATCTTTATAGTTCCGTAAAGTTAATTTAGAGAGCAGATTAATCGCCATCGCATTGCCGCGAATAGCATTACCGCGGAAAGTTTGAAATCGCTCTCCTGAGAAACTTGCTTTTTTGAGTTACCACGGTTTAGTTTCCAAGCGACGATATGTTCAATATGTTAATAAATATGATGCTAATTGTAGTTTTCGTTACAACTGCGAAAAAATAATGTTTTTTTTATATTTACGATAAATCTGTAAACAATGAAAAAAGCTTTATATTTTTTTCGTTCATTAATTAAAATCTAAATTTCATACAGCATTCAAATGCAACTGGTCAAAGCGATTCTAGGGAGGGGGGAGGCTGTAATATTTTTGACTTTAAAAATGTCCAAAAACTTTTTTTTAAAAATCTTTTAAGGATCTTAAATGGTTTTTAATGCCATAACATAAATGTTTTTCTTAACTATACTCTGGCAGTTAGAAAATCAATTTTCTTCCAAATATTTAACAAAGTTAAAACATAATTTTTCGACATTTGTATGAAACATAATTTTGCGACAAAAATACTACATTTTCAAAATTCAGTTTCTCAGAAACCATTCGACTGATTTAGCCAAAATTTCCTATTTGGGTTAGAATCCCATTGATGTCGGGCTAATCAAAAGAGGTTTTCGTGGTTTTTTCCCTATGTAACGCAGGCTTGTGCTGGTTCCATCAAAAAGCTCTCTACTTATGCTGGTTTATCCCAAAGCTTAATTCAGAAGTTTCATTGCCTTCTGGATAGAATTCAAAATTACAGAGATACAGAGTTGAACATTTATAGCCGTACACTCAAAACTGGGTCGGCTGTTCAGCGTCGATTATAATACCAATTCAGCCAATTGGACATAAGATGACAAACATCAATTGATGCAGTTTTTGAAACTCGTGTCTTGAAATGGAGCGTCCATTTAGATACCACATCCTCTATGTGGAAGGCTGAGAGGAAAAAAAAATTCGGTCAGTATTTTGTGATCGTCGCAATGTGATAATAATTAATGTTCTCACGTTTGTAATTAATTGTCATTACATTATTATGACATTTCTTTGTTTGCTTTTGTTCAGGTTTCACCCGTGTCACATTCACCGGATGCATTACTAAACGAGCAGTCGTTTTGCCTAATAAATAAGCACAGAAGAGATTTCGCAAATGAACTCATTCTTTTGCAAGTAAGTTACTGCATATTTTTCCGAAGTTAAATGCTGCATTGTAAAACTTTCGAACCACGTTGTACCAAAAATTCGTATTCATTTTCTGGTTACATAAAATGGTGCCCCATTTTACCATATTTTGTTATTTTCACTAGCTCCAAATAGAATAGTAGAAAATTGCATCTAATGTAGGTGTTTTGAAGAAACAAAACACCTATTTTCGATCTTTCTTTTTTGTCTCCTATAAAAGCAGAGGAATGTTGCACCATTAATAGGTATTTTTAAAGCACTCAAATGCAGGCCAATATTGCTATTTACTGTAGCAAAATTATGTACCGTAAGTTGGATGTTTTATGACATACCTCTAACCATTTCATTCCACCATTGTATTTAAAACAGCAACATAAAAGAAATGAGCTTTAAATAATACAAACAAGCCCTTCACCTATCGAAATAAGTTGGATGCTTAAAAGTGGTGCATTTAGTCACCCCGATACACCGAGACCGAGTTGTAAAGAAAACATGGCGTCATGAACAAATATAGTTAAGTTTACTGTCAAAGTTTTGTATCTTTTACCAAATTTTGGTGCTGTCTGTTGCATCATGGAAGTATTTCTCGATCAAACTTCACAATTTATGGTGTAACTAAATTAAAATGATCTTTCATTTAACTAAACTTAGGTTAAATGTGAAACTTAGATCCAAATACTGGTTAAAGAGTTTTCTTACAGTGCAATCCAAAATGTAAGATAACTATCTATATCTGAGTCCCACTAAGCTGAAATAGTTGCTAAACATATAATAGTCGACTTAAACACTTCATAATTCAACTGCTTGCTAACACAAATTTAACAACTAAATGTAATATTTATCTGCATCTGAATTATAAAAAAAAAGAAAGAAGGATTGGTGTGACTTTCAATGTTTCAAGTTTTCTCCTTTCAATAATATGCACCAGTAAACGTCACAATATTTTTTATTTCATCTCTGCTCTGTAAAAAAGTTTGAATCTTACTTTGATGAAAAGTACCATCACTCAGAGTGCCAGTACATTTTACTAGGAAGTCTTTTTTCTACGGAAACATGTTAAAGAACAAAAAATCTGATATATCTCAATTTTTACAGTAATAATTACTTTAAAATTACTGAATCATTCTAATTAAATAAGTATTACTGAAAAAATTAGGGTATAATAATTTACGGTACAAATGGATTTTACTGAAATATGGATTTTACGGATAATGCACCCAAAGTGGAGTTAATTTATATTGTAATTTTATCTGAAATTGTTTTACAATATGCTCATGGAAAAATGGTTGCATCATTATGCATTCCCTAGAGCGTATAACTTTCGCTAACAACGCCACATTATATCAGCGTTATAATAACAATATTGTTAATATCACAATGTTATATTTACTACATATATAAGAAATAAAATATAATGAAATTTTTAGTGTTGCAATGGTTTATGGCTGGTAATATTTCTTTTAATAAATTTCAATCAAAACATTTTCTTGAATTATTAATACTGATGATGCATGCTATGCATATAACATACATAACTACGACTATCTGAATATATAATTAGTCTTAGTCTTAAATAATTAATTATTATGTTACTAATTTAACTCAAAGGGAGAAATTTAAAATAACTTTATAATTAAAAAGCTTGGTGCACTTAATAATATAGAGCCACTTAATATAGAGCCACTTAATCATTATTTTTGGATATTTTCCGTTCAGCGTATGGCTAATTTGTCAAAAAAAAAAAAAAAANAAGAAAAAAAAAAAAAAAAAAAAAAAGTAAGGAAACGTGCGTGCAAGGTGATTTAAACTATTCATTTAGTAATTTTTTCATTCACAAGATAACAAATTACCGGAAATTCTGGTTTTATTACCACATAGTTAGGAAAAGAAAAAAAAATANAAAAAAAAAAAAAAAAAAAAAAAAAAAAAAAAAAAAAAAAAAAAAAAAAAAAGAAATACAATAAAAATAGGATTTATGCCTTGCTCAATGATAATATGATGAAATTACCAAATTCTACAACATATGGCAAATTTTATCACATAAAACCCTATTTTATTGTTAGTTTTACCAGAATAACTACTAAAGCGCTTCGATAAAATCACCGAGCTTTTTAGTGCTCCCAGAGAGCCAGAAACACGGCAAATTTTATCATATTTTGTTAGTTTTTACCATCCTCTTTTTTCTCAGTGTATACATAAATTAATTCAATCCAATTTAATTTTGCAAAATTTTCCTTGTATCTATTATATGCTTTGCCATTTCTCTTAAGTAGTTTTATTATTTATATCTCTCTTTATTATTTATTTACAAAGGTTTTAATTGATTCACAATTTTTTACAGAGACAAACTCTTAGTGCTATTCCTATTACAAAAATAGACTATGCTTGGAAAAGAAAAGCTGGGGAATTCTATGTCTTCAGCTTTGAAAATGAAGTCTATTTTGAAAAATACCCTCAACAATGCTGCTGTTGTATTTGCTGCTAGCAAAATATTATGTAAATCTGGTGCATATGTAAGGCTTGACTTTTGTGCCGTTTGTAGTAAAATGAATTTCACGATTCGAATATGAAGCAATTTTTAAAGCAAAGAGCTTTGTAATCCCTCTTTTCAATTTTTAGAAGTAAAAAAATATATAATATCCTATTTACAATTTTATAAATCTCTTTCAAATTACATGGGATTTTTATGTTAAGTGCAGAGAAAAAAAAAGTCCCTGGAAAAATTTCTGTATAATATAGTAATGATATTTCTGGTTAAAATCAATAATTTTGGTGTTAAAACTCAAATTATGCGGTACTTAAACCATTTATTTGGAAGTTTTCCCGTTCATTTGGTAACGATTTGCCAGAAATTCTGGTTTTAAAAATTATAATTCTTATTATCTCTCATTCACTGTAAACTATAACAATAAAATATAAATTTAACCGACTAAATGGCTTTTATAGCTTTTTCCACCCTGTCAGAATTTTCCTTCTAAAGTTACGGTAAAATAACCGGTTGCAATCTGTCCATACAATTAACCGTAAAATTTACGGTAAAGATCATTTTTCACATCTACGGTTTTAAAACCGTTTACATCTAAACTGGTTAAAAAAAGCTGTGGATACGAAACTATAAGGTTTCGTAACCATTTACAACTAGCAGGGAAATACTAGACTTTTTTTTTGTTGCCTTAAGCAAGCTTATGGTGCTGCCATCGTGGTGTGAAAGAGAGTATCGTATTTTAATAGTTCAGGGATGCGAATTTGGGGGTGCTGAACACTCTGGAACGGAACGTGTCTCTTGTGGGGAAGAAATATCGTGGTGCCAATGCTGGGATTCTAAACCCCCATTCAGTTGACTATGAGAATGACAGAGTAGCCCACTTGGCAATAATTTGTACCCAGTTGCAAGTAACTAAGGGGCTTTATTAAGAGGGCCCAGTTGATGCGATAAAATTCTAGTCGTTTAACCGTATTAGGTGAAAGCAGTTAATAAACGGTTTTTCTCACAGTTTTCAGTTTGAATACCATTTTATTTATTGTTACTTGACTGTTTTTTTTTGGATATAGTAAAATAACAATTAAATAATTTATAATTTAATCTTTTTCTTTGTAGAAATTTCTAACAGTGTTAGGTATGAAGATAACATTCCCAAACTTACCACATTTACCAAATTTTGTCACATATTATAAAGTCATATTTAATTTTTAATTTTACCAAAATAATTATTAAAATACTCTAGTAAAAATCACTGAGTTCATGAAGCCGGATGCATGGTGAATTTTACCATATTCTGGTAGTTTTGTTCATGTTTATTTTCGGTGTGGGTACAATATAAATAATTATTATTTTTAAATGATTTATACATAAAAAAGTCAAAAAGCATGCTTGAAAAATTGTTTTTTTCTTGAAAGTTTTAAAATTTTTCAAAATTTTTGTTTTCATATTCATACTTTTCATATTCATACTTTTGTTTTCAATTTCATATTTAATACTTGACTGCTACACAACTCAGAACTCTTTTTGATATTATCTCTCTGTTTTTGATAAAGTGTATCTTGGACTACATTGAATACTTTCCAAGTGTTAATGACCTCAAATATACAATAAACTTTTTTGAACAAAATGCCATCTGAATCAATTATTATAACCTCAGTCTATATTTAAATGTTTTATGGAATAAATTAACAAAAAAAGAAAAAAATTTGATTTGTAAATATGTATATAAGGGGCCGTTCAAAAAGTACGTACATCCCGAAGGGGGGGGAGGGGATTCGCTATTTTGTACGGTTTTGTACGATGGGGAGGGGGGGAGGTATTATACAAAGTACGTACTTTATAAACATACACCAAATTTAAATTTGACTTTATCCTACACACTCCTTAAGTAAATATTTAATTTTATTTAAAACATAATTATTTTAATTTTTATGAAAAAGGGGGGTAGACTAATAAAATGTACGTACTCTAAGGGGGGGGAGTAAGACCTTATGTACGGTAATGCACGAAGGGGGGGGAGGGGTTTAAAATTTCTCCATTTTTGTGTACGTACTTTTTGAACGGCCCCTAATTTGATGACAGTGATAACTTTTTATAAGAAACTGCAACTTCATTTATAGTGTCTCAAATGATTAGTTTAGCTGAATTAGTCAGAGTTACACAAATAAAAGCCGTTATAAGCGTTTTCATGTTTAAAAATACTTCCACTTTCATTACTCAAAGATGATAATTTATCGCGTACAATTTCGGAATTCCAAAAGTTGAATCCTTTTCCATGGCGATTCGTAAACTCAGTTTACCGCCGCCTATTGAGCTTGAGGAAGACAAAAGCAATTGTCGGCAAATTAAGATTTTTTAAAACAAATATAAAGTAAATATCATGCACATACTGTGCAATGCGAAGTACATCACACAAACGCAGTACTTCCTAAGCAGATGTAAGGGAAACTTACTATACCTCCCTTTCGGGTATTTGCACAGTTCTTATATAGTTGATTTTCCTATCAGAAAATCGTAGCCTGAAAGACATAACATCAACTCACTGAGAAGGAAGGGAAAATGTTGCTGTTCACTCATCAACAAAAATTAAAAGTATAGACATTTTAGGGAGAATCAACAATGAATGTACAGTAATCATGGGGTTTGGTGAGCGGTGTCTCTACGTTTAAAAAAATTCTGAAATCAAGGGGATTAAATTCTAAATCACATTTAATAAAAGTTGATAAAGAAAGTACACAAATTGTTTCGAATTATACAATATACTGCTCATCAAGTCTAAAACATGAAAGAAAGAAAGAAAAAACAGAAATGGTAACTGTGAATGATGATATTTGGAAGATCAATGACTTTCGGAAGATCGATGACTAAGCAATAAGTCACACATTTGCATCCTATTTTTGGTACCTCAGTAATATATTCTAATCCAGAGGAATTTGCATAACTAGATACTCTTAGCCTATGGAATATCCAATCTTCATCATACAAGTTGTGTAAATTGAGAAATGAGCCTCTTTTTAAAAAAATATTTTTAATTCGTATATAATTACAATCCAATATTATCACTCTCGAAATAATTCTCTTGGGAAACAATACATCGTCGCTGATGGTTCTTCGACTGCTGATAGCAGTGCTGAAACTCAGATACTGGAAGAGTCTTTATACGACAGATTAAAGCCTTTTAAATATCGTTCTTAAAATGAAGTCCTTTGATATGAATTTTCAACCTCGGAAAGAGAAAAAGCTTTAAAAAAAACTGCAGTCTGGTGAGTAAAGAGATCAACTAACCTTAGGAATGTGTTTATTAGCCATAAAAACAATTGAAAAAGAAAATATCTAACAATATATAACAAAATTGCAATATCAATTCAACATCTCACAATTAAAATTACAACACAATTGTAGAACTAAAAGACGCTTTGCCGTTCTTGATGTTTGGCAGTAGGATCTTTTTTCGCAGCTCAATTCATTTTATTATTTCAAATCGGATGAACGCTAGTGTGACACATATTTAACTGTTCTCCGACATGTTCTGGTAATGTTCAGTAATGCTAAAATATATCATTACAGTAAGATATGATACTCATAAGAATCAGTCAAGTTACTTTTACGATGCATGAGAATCATACAAGAATTATATATTTAGGATGCATCAGATACCAGAGTTGGGCAAAAATGTGATTACATTTTTTGATTACAGTAATCAGTTACTTGTAATCCTGAATAAAGGATTACATAATTTTGATTACAACTGTAATCGTGATTGCAACAAAAAATTACAGCAATCAATTACTTTTAATCATGATTACAACTTTGATTACAGCTGTAATCATGATTACTGTAGTCGATTACAGTAATAAATTACTTGTAATCATGATTACAATTTTCAAAAATTTTGATTGCAGCTGTAATCGTGAATACAATAATTGATTACTGTAATCAATTACTTGCAATCTTGCTTACAGCTGTAATCAAAATTTTGATTACAACTGTAATCATAATTCCAAGTAATTGCGATTACAAGTAATTACAACAAAAACGATTACGGATAATTATGATTACAAGTAATTACAACAAAAACGATTACGGGTAATTATGATTACAAGTAATTACAACAAAAACGATTATGGGTAATTATGATTACAAGTATTCAAAATATATGATTACATGTAATCTTGATTACAAGTAACTGTGATTACTTGCAATCAAATTATACGATTGCAAAAAATTACAATTGCTTACTATGTGCAAATACATTATGCAAGTATGTATGGCTATACATATTTTTATGTACATAGAATGTACTCGCGCATGTACGCACAATTTGTGATTCCTATATACACATATACAATGTATGCAGAAACGTTGTTTGTACGTACAATATACATAGTTATATTGTAATATACATAATACAATAATAATAATATGTTTAGTATACATAATTATGCATTTATGACAATTGTACGCATGAATGTTAGTTTGTATGCAAATGCAATGTTTCGCATGTTTATATACACAGACAATATATGTATGAACGTACGCGAAAATAATGTTCATACGAGGGTTGCTATTTATATTTCTGGCCTAATAATGAAAAAACAAATATGTAGGATCGAAATTGGTTTGATTGTTTTTCAAAATAATCTCCATGATGATCAATACACTTTTGTATGCGTTTGAATCAATTTTCAAAGCACTTTTTCCAGTCCGATTCAGGTAACTCCAAAACATGCGTTTTGAATGCATCAACCGCTTCTTAGGGGGTCGAAAATCGTTGTCCACGTAATTTATTTTTGATGTGTGGGAATAAGAAGAAGTCATTGGGTGCCAAATCAGGGCTGTACGGCGGATGACCCATCAGTTCGATCTTTCGCTCCGTCAGAAATGCCTTTGTTTGAGTCGATGTGTGAGAGCTCGCATTGTCATGATGAAGAATGATTCGCCTGTTCTTCTGCTTTTTTCGAATTTCTCCGATGACTTCTGGCAAACAAATGGTCGTGTACCATTCAGAATTGACCGTCCTGCGTTGCTCTAACGCCACTGTTGCCACATGACCGTTAATGCCGAAGAAACAGGCAATCATTTGTTTCGATGTGCTTCTTCCTCGAACAACTTTTGTTGGTTTTGCCTCGTCTTGGAAGACCCATACAGTTGATTGCTGTTTTGTTACCGGCTCATATGCATAGATCCATGATTCGTCACCTGTGTAGATGTTATACACAGCCTTTGATGTACCTTGAACATATTTTTCCATCATTTCCTTGCACTAATCGGCTCGAGCCTTTTTTTGAGCGTTTGTCAGATTATGCGGAATCCACGCGAACAAATTTTTTTTAAGCTCAAATGTTCATGAAATATTTTATTGATGCTAGTCATACTAATGTCTAAAGACGCCTCTATCTCACGGTATGTCACATGACGATCTTGCTTTATCAGTTCACGCACAGCATCGATCTTTTCTGGCACAACAACGGATTTTGGGCGACCAGCACGGGATTCGTCCTGGATCGAACATCGACAACGATTAAATTCGTTATACCAATTTTTTACAGTGCTGTAGGATGGCGCTTTATCGCTAAATAAAGAATTAAGTTCATCGAAGCACTCTTGTCTTGACAATTCACGTCGAAAGTTATGAAAAATAATGGCACGAAAATGTTCACGATTCAATTCCATTTTTTGAAAGAGAAGAACTTTTCAATTTACTTTCAACAGCACAAATGAAGCTATAATGGTAAATCGTCTGCTGAATTTATGTTTAAAAATATCAAACTTTCGATTAAAATCGTCCGCTGTCGCCTAGAAACACTTACTGTTGCCAAGGACAGAAATATAAATAGCAACCCTCGTACGTATGCATGCATTTATGTGCTTAAGTACATACATTGTATAAATTTGTACTTGTAGTACGTATATGAATGTTACTTATAGGTACAGTATATGTACATAGTTGCGTAAATAAGATGCATGCATGTATGCATGTGCATTTACGTGCACATAGATATATGGTTTGTACACGCAACATATGTACTTATATAACTATATACTTTGTTAATACATCTGCACATGTAATGTATGGATGTACTAAAAATAGTTAGCTTTACAATGTATGCATGCACATTCCGGAAAAAAAGATATATCACACTGAATAACTTTCGTTCTAATGATTGAACTTTTACGAACTAAGTGTCAATCTTAATAGTTCCCAGGGTGACCTCAAACATGCTTAATTAATAAGTGCTAAATATTAATTAAGTTACGAAATCAGACATAGAAACGTACTTACACTGAATAAACATATTTTTTTTAACATATTTGGCATCCTGACCCTTGAAATAGAGGGGGGCGGGTAGACAAAATTTTGAAAAAATTGGGTCATAAATTGTGTTGCAATAAAGATTTATATATATGGCGAAAGTTAAAAATAATGCTAAGTTATCTCGCCATAGAAAGTGAAACATTTGAAAGGAACCATAAAGAAACTGAATGATTTGCAAGACGGCAAAACATTGTGCGTCTCTGTTGCTAAGCAAACAAGTGCAGAAATTTTGGATCAACTTTATGGGCGAAGAAAACAGAGCTTTCTTTTTCATCCTTTGAAAATAAAATTTAAATCGATTAATAAATTATTTATGATTTTCCAAGATTTTAAAATCTGAACGCTGAACTTATTATCTGAAATTTTTTTAAATTTTTTTGTAGCTGTTTTAACATTATTCGCATGAAAATTTTGTACTAAAATCAAATTTACGTAAGTTATTATAAATTTATGAAAAGTTGTAGGGCTAATTGCTTTTACACTTGAGTTCGAGTCTTTTCGGTAAGGGAAAGAAAAGAAAAAAAAAAAGCTCTTGCAAAAAAATTTGGAGGGCCAGATAATTACCATTATACTACGTTACACTTATATTACTACCCCAGCAGCAAAATAACTTGGGACTTCTTTGGACCAATATTCATCAATCTTGACTCAATTAAGGAAAAAATTGGCTAATATCGGCAATATATAGAATTTTATATTTTATAGCCGTCGTTAAGCAACAGATCAAATTTTTGGGTTTACGACTACTAATAACTAGCTTAACCCCACATCGCCCCCGCGAGGGGGCTTCCGGGGACACACCGATAGTTCGAAGTGCGCGTAACAGTTCAATCACATGAGCAAACATATTCAAAACTTTCAAATTAGAGTTTTAACAAATAGAGAGAATATTAAATATGAAATCCAGAAAACAGCATTACTCAGAAATGAATTAAATGCAAGCAAACATTACAAAGAATATAAACAATATCAATCAGAAGAGATATTGATGTCGCATCTTCAGTAGGGGTACGAAGATAATAAAAAGAAACAATTACACATGGTTAAATATAGGATGTTTGTAACACAGAATATAATCACAAATGACGGAACAGTACTTAAGGTATCAAGTTCCAGGAAAAGATTTTTTAACACAGTAAGTGCATAATTACGACTACTAATGTTCAACTCAGTAACCTTGTTATTTTGAACCCAATCCAGAAGACAACGGAACTCCCGGATTAATTATTGGAAGAAATTTGCCCTCGTGGACGACTTTTTGATGGAACTAACCTGCATTTGCGTTACACGGAGAAGAAGACCACGAAAACCTCCCACGGTAATTCTGGCGGCAAAGAAACTCTAACCCATGATCCGTCTATCATTGAGGATATTTCACGTTGCCACTGAGGTTGGTGCAAGGTGAATGTGGATTCGTATTGACCAGCCATCGCTGGGAATCTCACCCGGTTCACCTCATTGGAAGGCGAACTGAGCCATCGCGGCTCAGTGTGTTCGAAAAGATTAGCAGTTTCCATTTTACCCGATATGTTACAGCCACTTTTTAACTAAAATTGGCTTCATATACCCGGCCCTATGTATAGGCCCTATATATCTGCCCTATATTGTTTTTGCCTAAAATTAGAAGTCATTCTAGGACCAATATTAAAGAATCTAGACATCCCAATATTGGTCCTTCGGTGCATGTTCTTATAGGACCCATATTGAACCAATTTTTGAACCAAACTGGGGTCAAGGTAAAATTGTCGCTAGAGTTTGCACTTATAATACCTTTGTTTTACCACACTTTTCTGTTCTGATAAGGAAAGTGTTCTACGCAGTTTTTCTTAGCTTTTGAATTTTTTCAAGTAAGATGGATTTTATTATTTAATTTCAATGAGTTTAACTACGATGATACTATAAGTTCAATTGCAAGCCAGTGAATACTTTTGTATGATGTTGATCAAAGTAGGAAAATATATTCACTATATTGGAATAAATAAGTTAAATTTTGTTTACTGATGCATTTTATAGACTGTAAGAGTAAAAATCCATGATTATTTAAACGCCGAGTCATTGCTATTTACAGAAAAAATAATTTATTTTCAAATTATAAATCATAATTATTTTAAATTAAATATGAAATTTAAAATAAAAAGCACAGTTATTTAAAATAAGAAGCATTAAAATTGAACATTATTGTTAGTTGAAACATGAATCACAGTTATTTAAAAATTAAAATTATTTGAAATGTAAATAATAGTTGGAATAGTCGCACCGAGATCGCAACATATTTTAACTATATTATGATCCAAAACTTTTAACAACGTGTTAAATAAAAGCTTTCAAAGTTTTGAAAAATACACGTGAGAAATTCCGCACTGTATGGTAATGATATTTATGATAAGAAAAAATCTTAAATCTGATTAACAAAACCGAAATATACGGTATTTTATTCTGATTTTCCCATTCATTCATTGCCAATGTTTCCATTCATATAGTAAGTAGTAGTTACTATACTATATGACAAAATTAAGTTCTAATTATCACACATTTAGTGAAAAATACAAAACTGAAAAGTAAATTTAACCGAATAAAAAGTTTTTATGCCATAAGATTTAATGTATTATGATAAAAATACCAAATGTTACTATTTCCAAATTTTATCACGTATAATAAAAATCATGTTTTATTGATAATTTTAATAAAATCATTTACAAAGCGTTTCGGTAAAAACTACCGAGCTTTTTGGTGTTCCCGTAGAGCCAGAAACACGATAAATTCTACCATATACCTTATCATTTGACCAAACTTTTATATCACTGTATGTTGATTAAAGCAGGCTATAATTTTTTTTTAAATCATGCAAATTATGCTAATTTTTTTCCAGGAATTCATTTGATTAAAGCTGGCTATAAATTTCTGTCAATCATGTAGGTTATACTCATTTTTCTTCAAAAATTCATTTTGTAATTTTTTTTTTAAAAATTAATTTTACCGTTTGGGAGGTCTTACATCTATGATTGATAATACTAATTTCCAAACAGTTTCATGTAACTGAGAAATTCGATACTTCAAGCATTAATGACAGTGAATCACATTTTAGTGAGTAGTAAACGATACATATAAAGATCAGTGCAGCAAAAAGGACTATTATTTCTATTATACAATCAAACACAATATGTTCATGTTCTTATCTTTATTATGATAAAAATTTATTATCATTTGCTTTATTTAAGATAAAAATTCACCTTTCATGTATGAAAGAAAGAAAAGCACCGAATAGAAAGTGGCAGGTGCTATTTTATTAAAAAAATTATTATAATTATTATTATTTAGATTTAAGGTAAGTTGTATTCATGTTACTGTAGTGAATAATTTTCATGCAAACACCATTTTTAATGCATTCTGTAATTTTCGCAATGTATGCTGTAATTGCACTTAAAATATTTTCATTTGATATAACTGATAACATAGATTACAACTTTTTACAGTAATGTTTCAACGTATGCTTATTTATAGTTTAGTAGTTTTTTTAAGTGAAAGTTGAAAGTTTAGTTTTTTTGTTGAAGCTTACATATTTTGATATTTTTTAAGTTAAATATATTTTTAGTGCTATATATATATATTAGTTTTGGTGATTATTTTTACAACACAACTTGGATGATATTTTTAGGATAATGGTTCCTTTTAAGATAATGGTAATGAATGCCCTAAGTTATCATTGAAAAGAGCTGGGGTTCGATCCTCAGAGCCAACTTTAAGGCTACTCTATTTCAGATGGATATTTTTCAATTTGTTTGAGATTGAAGAAGATATTAGAAGCATTGCTGACCCCATAGTCAAAATCATGTTCTGGTCACGAAATTGTAGAGCCTAAGACCCCATGCCTCCCCTACCTAGCCCACGAAGGGCTGTAGAACAATGACATTAATATTGTTTTAAACAATATATATTGTAACAATTGTGAATTTTGAATTCAATATAAAATTATGAAAATAATTGCAGGCAACTAAAACGAAAATCGATTTCTTTCGTTAGCCAGGTGAAATGAAGTTCAAGTTTTTTTTCCGATTTTTAAAAAAAAAATTTTTTTGTGCACTTCCATTTTGTTCAGTGTTCAAAAAATAAATAAAGCAAAAAAGTACTAAAGGAAATTTAACGAAGGTCTACATTTTTTTGTGACTTTTGTTTGCGTCTGGCTAACCGAAAAGTAACAGAATATCTCATACATGCAACAAATTAAACTCTAATTCTTTATTTTGTTTGATTCAACACTTGATTTGCATTAATTTGCCTAGTGGTAGCCTTAATGCTTTCATAGCTTTAAATATAGTGCATTGAAAGCGAGTATTTTTTTTTAATAATATATTATTATTTATGGTCACTTCCTTTTATTACTTTCAGAAAAATATTGCCATGGAAGCGCCACCGAGTTATGAAGCTGCCATGGCAGGTAAATTAAAATTGTGCTATAATAAAGCGTTTCCTACTCATTCGGAATTTTTAAACAACTTGAATAAATTGACATTTAATTTTGATTATAATAAATTATATTTTTATTTAATTCTTGACGATAGTAAGAGAAGTTAACATTTGTCCCAGAAATTATAATTTATATTGTATGTTTATGGAATTCATCATGGATTCAGTTTATTTTTTTCAATGCAAAACTTTTTATTTAATAAAAAATACAGATGTTTCGCAACGACAAACCTTAATATGCATTTTTAGAATCATTATCGAAAATCAAAAAAGGAAATGAATGCACATTGAAGGAAATAGAACGGAGTTGGAAGACGATTTTCAGAAACGCCTTCAAAATTCAACCTCCAATGAAAACTACTTCAATATTTATTACATTAGTGTACTGTGATTTATCAGATATTCCCCGGTTTCAAACTCCATTGTGCATTTTTTTCCTTTTGTTTCCATTTCTGATAATTTTCCAAAAATATATATTATGGGCTGTTTTTGCGGAACAGACTGCTTTTAACACACATTGGATTTTAGATCAAGTGTATAAATTGAAGTTATGTCAGTTATAAAGTATTACATAGCTTATATATAAGTAAGCTCATCCTATTTATATAACTTAATAATGTATCTAATAAAACGCGAATAAAATGTATTTATAAAGCTTATTTTTACATACACAGAAACATCGTTTCATACGTACAATAAATTTATTTATTATGTATTTATTTTGTTTTTATTTTGAAGAACTTGGTGTCTAAATATTAAATAACCTTTGTTTTTTGAAATACTTGCTCATATCGAGCTAAAGTCACATAAAAAGTAAACACAAGATGTTTAAGAAATACACACAAAGAATAAAAAATAAACACTGAGATGTTTAGGAAAAATAAGTTAATGAAGATTTAAACGAAACTTCTTTGTAATTGAATAATTTTCAGATAAAGTGTGATGGAAAAAAATTATAAATAATGCATAGATCCTAATTATACAAAAAAGAAAAATTAAGAAATATTTCAATGTCTTATGTAAGGGATCTTCGAATTTTTAAGCCCGAGAGCCGCAACAATATTCGAGAAATCACGCGCCACGCATGAGTTTGATAGTGCAGGTAAAAAATTCAGTAGCAGGAAAATAAGATACTGATTTTTTTTTCTAACTTTGTTAGACATTGCGATGCATTATATACATATATACTATACATATATACTATACCTTGGCCAAGTACTATACATGTATACTACTATATATATATACTATACCTTGGCCAAGTACTATACATATATACAATACATATATACTACTATACATATATACTACTATACATATATACTACTATACATATATACTATACATATATACTACTATACATATATACTACTATACATATATACTATACATTCTATACATTAAACTATTACCTCATATCGAGCACGATTTCGAAAAAGTCACAAATTAATTGATGGATGATACAAAAAGCTATTTATTTAGTATTTTCTCGCGCTTTTCAATAACATTAGTAGTTCTGTCTTCTGTAGAGAGTTTTCTGTTTCCGGAATGGAAAATATATTACCTAAGATAGGCTTAATCATTGATAAAACATAATATAAATACTAACCAAAGGATTGTCTTCTGAAGTTTTTTAACACTAGTTAATACCTTTATTATGGTAAAATTTTATCGAAGCATGAATAATCTGTTCCATTCGTTGATGCATCCATTAATACACAGAACACAAAATTTGAATTTGCTTAATAAATACCATAAATTACTTAATTCAACAATAATCCTTAAAATTAAAAAAAAAGAAGAAAAAAAGATTTTTTTTTCTTCAAATTTTTAATATTTACTCTTTTTTTGTAATTTTAGAAAGTAATAGAAGAGTTTCAGCTCCTGCTATAACTTCACAAGTACCAATTACTCCTCCCATACTTTCTGAAGTATCTACTACTTCCCTTGTACTTTCTGAAGCAACTACGTCTCAACTTGTACTTTCTGAAGTGCCTGCGTCTCCTTCCGTACTTTCTGTAGCACCTACGACTCTTCCCGTAATTTCAGAAGTACCTAAAACTCCTCCATTACGTTCTGAAGTACATACGACTCCTCCAATTGCTTATAAGGAACCTTCAGCTCCTCCTGTACTTTCTGAATTAGCTTCAGCTCCTCCTGCACCTTCTCAATTAGCTTCAGCTCCTTCCATACTTTGCGCTTCTCATATATCTCCGGCACTGCAGCCAACGTAAGTTTATTTTATTTATTTCGCCACTAAATAAAAAAATAAATAAACAATTCTAAATATCATATTTATTTTAAATTTTTTTATTAAATATTACATTTTTAAACACTCGCACTTGTTACTTTTATATACAGCTTAACCACAAAATAATTGAACGAATGAATTTAAAATGTTACTTTGTTTCCAAATATGTTTTGGAACAAAGATGTTTTTTTTTCTAAGTATCAAAACACATTTTTGAGCATTCCTGAATCTTAGCTACTTTTAAAGTGATTGGAACTATGTATCCAAATTTAAATATCTGAAGGGGAAAAAATTGTGATACTTGATTTTGAAACAAATTGATTTTTAGAAATTTTTATCCTTTTCTTCGACAAAATTCGATAATCTCTGGTCAGGGATTTGCATCTGTTTTTTCGGCTTAAATGTTTTTGTTACTCTTAATATATTTACATTTATTACATCCCTTTTTACTTAGATTCTAGAAACATTCATTACGAGTGATTATTACAGAACATCTTGAATAAATGAGACAGGAAATAAATTATATTTGAACAGGAAATAAACATGTTCTTTTTTTTTGTTTTCTTTTCCTAGTTTCGGAAGCTTGACAGATGAAACAATAAGAAAAGTGTGCTACGACTTCGCTGCTAAAAACTTCGAAAATGGAACAAGAGTAATAGAATACTTGGATTTTCCGAGTATTCGAAGTTGCTATTCCTTGCATGTGAGAATTGCGAAATTGTTCTTAATATAATTTTTATTAAGTAATTTAAATTATAATTGTTATAATGTTCTTAATATAATTTAATTAAGTAGTTTAAATTGTTTCTAATTTATTATTTGACTTTTTAGTATAAATTGGAAACGTTTTGGGAGTCAAGAGAATTTGTTATTAAAAATGGAAAATGTAATGGTGAGTTTCAACTACTTAAATTTATTTAAAACATTATGAGTTACAAAATTAAAGGTCTTATACTCAGTTGCAAGTTAAAAAGAAATCATTATACCTATGGAGAGAGCCTGTTTGCATCTAAGTGCTTGCCAAATGGATGCCAAGCTCCCAGCGCGAACGTATCAACATCGCCAACTCTTGAAGCGTCGTTGCACAGCCTTTTCTTTGCTTGCTTTCTTAAAAAGAGTGAAATAAGGAAAACAAAACTTATTGAATAATCAACTAACAAGTATTAATAATAATTAATAAAAATAATATCAAAAAATTGTAACAAATGCATGTCTTTCTGTTAGCAATTAAAGAACTGATGAAAGAATAATAAATATTGCTTCCTGCAAGCGATTTTCTACTACAGTGAACTAAATTAAAAGTTCTTTATCTCGTTTTTTTTTTGTTAAGGGCATGCTAGCGTAAGATGCGCCATTTTTACTGGTCCAATCAAATCTAATGCTCTTGCAACGGCATATAGTTGTTTCTTTTTCCAAAGCAAATGTTTCCCTATTAATTGAAATATGTTGCCAGGTCTATTATTCTAGAAAAACTACGAAACTGTAACATTTTTTTAAAAACAATTCTATGATATGTATCGTAAATGATAGCACGAATTAAATTTCTCTTTGACATGTTTTACTTTCGAAAGCTTTTAAATTGTTTTGAAAGCATATTTGTATAATTTGATAACGGAATAAACCGCAGATCTAAGTTTGGGCAAAACGTTACTTGAACAATTATTGAATTTTGTTATGCGTAATGGAGTTGTTTTCCTATTCTACTAACATAGGATATCACGGGTGACTAAGCATGTGAAAAGGTTTTGATTATTAAAAAGCAAAATTTCATTAAAACAGGTAAAAAATTAGCAACTTTTCTAGTACATTTCTTTCAGTTTACAAATGAAATTGAATGCAAGGCTTTAAAGTTGTTTTCGCATTATAATTGGATGATTTAAATTGTAAGTTATGGTTTCCATTGAAGATTTAAATGGATTAAATAAATAAGAATGAATTGAGTTTCTACTACTTCATACATTTTTAGTTTCTCTTGGCATCCCTGTTAACATAAAAAAAATAGTTTTACACCACACCTTTTACAGCTCTTTAATACTCTCATATCATGGCGGTTCAAAACACAATGTACACAGCCATAATAATAACCATACATTGAGCTATCTTATGGGAGGAAGTTTTTGTAAACTTGATAAAATTTTATTTCGAACCATGTATTCCGTTAAACTTAATATCGTGTAATCAAGTTTATGACGGATAAACAATCCCGATAATATGATTTCAACTTGGCATTTTATTAAGGTTGCAGCAAACTTGAATAATATTACAGTTTAACACGTTCCATTTAGTTCAAAAAAATTTTAATGCTTAAAACTCTCTCAGTGTTTATGAAAACTGATTTTTTCAAACTAGTGTTTTAAGACGCGAACAACTAAATGTAGATTAAAATTTTGAGAACATAAGTATGCCTGTGTGCTATCTAATCAAAGTATGAAGGTGATTTAAGCAAATTTTTTAAAAAAAGCTTTAAAATACTATACCAAATTTGTCTTATATAAGCAATTTAAGTAAAAAGTTAGAAACCAAAAACAGGCAAAGACAAAATCCTGAAGATATGTATGTTAGCAAAAACTGTACTTTATCAGGAGACACACTGTCTGCTAAAACCCAGGAGCCTTTTTGTAGTCAGCGGTTAAACCGAAAACTGACTGTACCGCTTCCATAATGCTTCTGTGCGGACATTCTTCTTCATAACTGTCTTTTTAATTTGATTTCAGGAAAACCTATAGATGGATCAAATAATGGGCCTGAACCGAATATTCGGAGTATTTTTGTCGTCTGCAAACAGAAATTTCAGAATGCTGAAACGCATGCTCCAGTACCGCATTCAGAACATTTAAGAAATTGTCGGAAATGTGACGATCGTGGTAAAGAGGATTGTTTAGTTTGTAAAGGTGCAGGTTGGGTAAGAAAACTACTTTAACAAAATACATATTTTGTACTGTAATCTCTATTAGACTTAATTTTGCAATGTTGCGAAAGACAGAATAATGTTGCATTGAGGTTCTATAGTTCATTAATACTTCAAAAATTGTGATGTTGCATTTATTGCACATCCCCAAGATCAACAGGGCCAAATCAGATCCATGATTTTGTGTACACTGAAAATGTTCAATAACATCACAGGATTGTCTGTCATATTTTGTCTGGTCTCAGGCAAGCAATGATGTTTAGGGGACGCCTATTCATTGTAGCACACGGTACAGGTATCAAAGCACATGAATAGTTTAAAGATCTTAAGCGACCACTGAGAAAGCAAGTGAGGGCGGTCTGGTCTAGTCGGCTGCATACAAGTGCCAGAGAGCCGTCAGACCTATCATTCCTATACCCTCGGTGTGCTGGTGGGACACGCCAAGAGTCTTCAAGCTTAATCTTAGCCATGGACAAAAGCTCCATTAAAGGGAGAGGCATGGAAGATAAATTGTGATAAAATAATTTATTAAACGGAGAGAGCAATGATAAAATTTAAAATTAGTTATATTTTACGCTGTAACCTTAATTCAGCAAACTTAAGTTGATAATAATTATTGCATCACATTTAAAAGAAATGCAGCGAACTTTTCAACAGTATATTACTCCTTTGGTAAATTTATCTATCATTGATAATGATAATTAACTATTCACATTAAACTACCCATTAATCTAATCCTTTTAATGACATATTTAATGAGGCTCAATGTAAGGGATTCACGTGTAATTTTCTAACAACATTAAGTTTTAATGACATGCTTAAAAGAATAATTATATTTAAGCAGCTCTACAAAGATAATCAGAAAAAAAAAATGAAAATGAATATTAAGATCGAAAATAATATGTTTCTCCAATCCGAACTGGATAAAATTAAAATGAAATTAATGATCATAAAGTTTTGGTTATTAATCTTGTTAAGAAATAAAATCGAGAAAAGAAAAAAATTGCACAATGGAATTTTTTAACAAAAAACTGAATTAATTTTCTCTAAGAATATTAAAATAGCTTGATAATTTGTGTCATATTCTAAATATAAAACAGTTTTAATAAAAGAAAACATTTAGTTAAAAGAATGTAAAGTACTTACTATTTAACTGAGCAAGATTTAAGTTTTTATCATAAAATTGGAAACATGAACATTAAAATAATAAATTACTTGTTTTTTCAGTCGAAATAATTTTCGTATTTTTAAATATTTACATTTGAAATTTTTTTTTACAATTTATTGATTTATAAGTACAATTACAGTTACTTTTACAAGAATACAAATGTGTTAGTAAAGAATGTTATCCTTTATTATATTGTATTTGAAGGAAACATAACGATATTCAATTCAATTTTTTTACATAAAGGAAATATCATTTATAATTTTTTTATTTTAGTACACATGAAGGAAACAGAAATTTTTTTTTGTAATATCAGAATATTTATTAGATTGGTCTCGTTCTCACTTTCGAATTCCTAGTTTCTCAATTTCTTTTTCCCCCCTCCTTCTTTAAAAAACATGTTTTAGTTTGAATTCTAATATAACTGCTTTCGTTTGTTCAATTGACATGCGAGTCTGGATCAGTTATATGACATGGAGCATTTGGAGACCCCACCCTCAAACTGTTCTGTTGATGCCGCTTGAAAATGAATTGATAAGTTTAATCAGCTTTCCTCTTTAGAAAAAAAGTGGTGGTATTCCTTCCTTCTATTTTTGTTTTAAGCAAACTATTTTGTGTAGAATTAAACTGTTCCGAAAACGAACTCTTCAATTTGATTCAAAATATTTTCCTACGTTGCAACAACAATATTTTTGTAATTTACTTAGGAAAATAAAAATTAATACAAAATAAAAATTCATACAAAATAAATATTAAGACTTTGATTAGTGCATTTAAAGTAGAGCAAGCAAATCCCTTTCAGTAGGAATGTTCTCCATGTTTGCAAAAATAGTGAACTGTATCTATTGTTTTTTAAGATTTCAACTTCCTAACTGAAGCTTTTTTTGAAGGAAATAGCTAAAATATTGATAAAAAATTACTATTAAATAAAGAAAAATAACAATACGTAAAATGTCGAGTTGAATCAATCCAAAAATCAACAATCGTTAAACGTTAAACGAAAAACTTCACGATAATTGAAGAGATTTGGAATGCTCCATGCTCCAAAAGCTCAGTGTCGCGAAACAGACCCACAATTTATGTATTGATTTATTACGTTAAGTCTTAAATCAGACATATTTTAATGCAAATACTTCATCATATCAATTGTTCATTACATTTATTTAATTTTATTTCTTACAAACATGAAATTAAGCTTGTGATAAACTGTATTTGTTCGTAAATCTTGAGATACGTGAATATACTTGTACATTGTATTATGATACTAGTAATCAAAGCCCCCTGTTCGCTGATGCCCACCAACTCCAATGATAGCTCTTCGCAATAATTGCTGTTTCATGACATAAAACAGTTGAAATTATTCAAACATAAATATATTACTAACAAGAGAACTAGTGTCTCCCTTTCTCACGTCCAAATATTTTCCTTATGACACTATTAAGTTGTTGTAGTTCATTTATATCGCACTAAATCTGCACAATGGAATATTGGAGATGGTCTGGGAAACATCCCTAAAGGATGATCCAAAGACCTGCCATCACAATTTTGATCCTCTGCAGAGAGGATGGCACCCCCGCTTCAGTAGTTCGACGACCTGCACGCGAAGTCGAGTACTTAACGGTAGAACAGATTAACGAGAACCAATACAGCACAGCCTCTGTCCCAACGCAGACTGATCCAAGCGGTTACCCACCAGCACACTGACAGCAGCCAATGATGCTTGATTTCGGTGATCTGCTGGGAACCGTGACTTAACGATCAGTCCACTACAGGACTGATACTATTAATATCTATAAGTGAACACGAATCCCTTTTCTAAGTAATAGTTTTTTGAAATAAATTTTAAAACTAAAAGTATATTATTATAACAAATTTGGTGAATTCACTATTGTAATTTAATATTGTTGCTTACCAAACGGAAGGATGGAGTTTAAATACAATTTTTGCATTCATCACTCTGTGCATGAAGCTGAAATTTATGTTCTAAATCATTTAACTAATCTCTCTAACAGTAATTCATAATAATAGTATATTAATGTAATTTTCACCTAAAAATAATAATTGTAAAACTGTTAATAAGTTTTCGATTTAAATAACTTTATATTAAAATGTAGAAAAATATCTTATTCCAATAATAATAATAATAAAAACAATCCTCCTAAATTGTTAATTTAGAAATCAAACAAAATCAAAAACGAAATAATAACAGTACAGGTAATTTAATTTTAATAACTTATAAATTAGGGAAACAAAAATATTTATAAGAAAATAATAACTTTATGACTTGTATCAATTTTATGCTGATGACAACCAAACAAATATGAAAATTAATGTGGGAAAACTGGATCCTCCTAACATGTGATTTTCCAGCCAATAAAATTTATTGTCAACATTGGAAAACTGCGACACCATCATTAGAATTTCTTGTATAGAAAGATTAAGATTTTACAAAGTTTGATATTAAGATGTAATTTAAGAAAACATTATTAACTTAAAATATTTCTTATGTATTTTTTTTTATTCCTCAGAATCCTTGCAGTCGCTGCAACGGTGATGGTTACCTCAAAGACCGTTCTGCTTGTTTGACTTGCAACAAAACTGGCCGCCTCATGTAAGTGATGGAAGATATTATAAGATTACTGGATTAATATATCAGCCCGTACAAAAATGTAAGGTATTTTTGAGTTTTTTGTAAGGTTGTTTTGAGGTGTCAATATTGATTTGAGGTTTCGAAGTTGATTTAAAAGAATAACCTTATAAAAGATCAACCTCCTAAGGGGTATAATCAAAGTGTATGAAATTGTTTTATTCACACTTGAGGTTGTTTTGAGGTGAATCTACTTTAGAGTAACCAGCTTAGGTTGGTTGTTTTTGAGGTGACCGGATCATTTTTTCTACGCTTCAAGCAAATATGTATATTTGAGGAGTCAATGATTTTAATCGGTCTAAACTAAAATTAATTTTGAGTTACATATGAGGCTGATTTTGTGAGGTGTAAATGAGGTTGAAATTGAAGTTTATTAATAAGGTTATTTTTGGTGCAAAACATAATATCCTTTTCGACCTCAAGTGTACTTATTTACATCTGTCAACCTCAAAACAAACTCAAGAACACCTTATTTTTTTGTAAGTGAGTATGCATACCACGAAATTTGAAACTTAACTTATGCATTTTGAATTTCACAGCATTTTTTAATACACGTCTGAATTTATTCTAGATGGCGTCTGTTACGAAGAAATTATTATTGCAAAATCTGCTCAGCATTTAATGAATTTTTTTACAAAAATATGTTAATGAAAAACTCAAGAACTCTTCATTCCGAAAAAAAATTTACTAAGTGAAAAAAAAAACAATAAAAATTGATAGATTCTTCAAGTTTAAGTCTTTTAAAATGAGTATGAATGAACCAACAATGACAGCTTTACTTCGATTATTTTCCGGCATGTGCTGGAAATTTTGCACCTCGGTAAACCGTAATTAGGTTAAACTTTAAAACGGTTCCAAGTCAAACTACATTATCGTGCAAATTAATCTGCCTTGAACCTAATTATACAAGAGTATGGTCCAACCAAAATGGAAACATGGTTCAAATCAACAACCTATAAAATCGCTGTAAATTACCGGGAAAATATGGTTAAATTTTTCGATAGTATGTTTTAAAAGAAACAATGTATTTCAGAGCATACAGTGCAATTTTGAAATACATTAGTTTGGACTATGTTAGATTTTAAAATCGTTCAAATCGCTCTGTAAGAAATGAAGTAATAACCCAAACTGTTACGAGAAATTAATGGCTTGATAGCATTATCGTTGTGAAACTAATTATTATTTAGTTATGAACAACTGTTATTGTTTGTTGTGAACTATTTGCTACTAACATTAAAAAATTTATTATAACTCATAAAATTGTTATAGATGTGATCCATGCTACAGCTGTGGAAGAATAAACTGCATTGTATGTGATGGACATAAGAAGGTTAAAACCTATAAAGAACTCAAAGTGACATGGTAAATAATTCCATAATTACAGATTAATTCTTATAGGGGAGAGTCGGGTAGCCCCGCCCACTTAAGGAATATTGCTTATATTTCTGTATAATATTGAGTAATAAACAATATTTTTATATGTTTCTATTGTTTTATCATCTAAAAAGGAATAAACAAAAAAAAGAATAGTTTAACTTAAAAAAATAGAAATTTAGAAAAACATGTCCGGTAATCAGCATATTTTCAAAACTATTGTTAACCATGTTACCAGCTGCATAAATACTTGAAACTTTGAAAATAATCTTTTTTTAATATAACAATTAATGTCCGATGGACCCGACACTCCTCTAATTAATTTTGAATATTAATAAATTGTATTCCATATGTTGATATCCATTTTCTTATTTTGATATAGGACAAATCATGTGGATGAATCTGATGTTAATCCCACAGACATACCCTCTGATCTCCTGAGGTTATCCACCTCTAACGAAATATTTAGTGAAGAAAGCCCCAGGGTTTGTGTTTAAATTTATATATGTGTAGTGCCTTTAATTTTGTTGCTCATTAAAAACAGTTTTTCCTTCATCTCCACCTTTATAAAACATTTCCACGTAGTGAACATGGGATAGAGCGTTCGCCTCCTAATGAGGTGAACTAGGATCGGATCCCAGTGGTGGCTAGTTGGTACGAATTCTGCATCCGGCCTGAATCGGCCACAGTGCTGACTTAAAATATCCTCAGTGGTGGATGGATCAAGGCAAAGAGTATATACATTGGGTTAGGAAGTCTAGCTTCCATAGGCATGATATAAATCACTTCCCAGAGGCTAGGTGTGGTCCCTGTGTACAAAGGAAAAAACAACATTTAGGGGCACAATCGCAGAGGTTCTTGAAGCGGGTTTGCATCCTCCTCTCCTCCCACTGGGGTTGGGGTGAAGAAGAAAAGCTTTCTCTTTTTGTTCTTCGTTTGTTTATTCAGCATTTTTACACTATTAATAAAATACTGCATAATACTGTATTATTGACTAAAATATTTCTTTGAGAATATCATCCATGTTGATTAAATCTGCTAACACATTTTGACATAAAGAAAAAGAACAAAATGGCGGTTAGCGGGAGACAGCGCACCCAACCGTACACAACGTACAACCGATTCACGGGTGACGTACCTCATGACTGTCTCTTTACTTCTTATGCGCATACACTGGATCTTAATACATACGATGTTCTGCTAATTCTGAGTAAGTTTCTCAGCCTGTAAGTTGTTTTCCTGGCATAGCTTACCGCACCGAGAAGTTCCCCACGTTAATGACGTATTTGTAGAGCCAAATCTCTTTTTCTTCCTACATTCTTTGGATCAGGGGTTAGAATCTCCTCGCCATTGGGTTAACTGTAAGAGGTTTGCGAGGTTTTTCTCAATTGCTGGATAGTTCCATCATAAAGACCTTACCGAAGGCTGCCTTGTCCAACAAATTGATCCAAGTTTTCTGGGTTGAGTTCAAAATTAAAAGGCTACATAGCTGAACATACATAGTCATAAACTCAGAATTAGGTAGACTGTTCATAGCCGATTATAAAATAAAATCTCCATGTTAATTATTAACTTCTGCGTAGCTAGCACATTAGTAGATAGTGCCCCATTATCTTTATGTTTTATATATTTAATATTCATTTTATGAAAGTTCAATGTTAAAGAAGTGAATTAAGGGATGAAAGTTCTGCATCAGAAGCCAAACAATACTCCAAATTTTGTTTATTTTTAGGTCGTCGCGATCAGTCACTGAAATCAATAAAAGAACAATAAAAAATGAAACTTAAACAGATAAAGAAATCGGAAATTAAACCAAACTGAAAAGCAAGATAATAAATTAAAAAAAGAGAAAAAAAATCTTTATTTTTAAAAACTGATTTAAAAATAAGATGTTTAATTAATTTCTAGTCGAATATTATAAATTTATAGTTTCAGTGATATTATTTATATGCTAAAGCAAGGTGCTTTGGTTTTTATTATTCAAAGACTTGTTAGTCTTAGAAAAAAATAATTTTAGAAACCTCATTTAGAACATAAATATTTCAGGTTCAACCTCTTTCTACATTTCCTGAAGCGAGAATAAATATAGCGTCTCTCAATCTTGTCTTCAAACACCAAAAAGATTGTGCCAATAAAGTTGTACTCTTGCAGGTAAGCCTGTTCTTTTGATGGTTTAGTATTTTCTAAACTTAGAAACTACAATTCATGTATTACAGAAACTGCAGAACTTTTTCAAAATTCATCACTCATAAAATTTAATTTCTTTGTATTTGTGTTTCATGCTTTTACTCGTAGATGCAAAAACAAAAATATCATTCGTTTTTATTCAACTGTCCTTTAAAATCCCGAATTCAGAAGATATATTAAAGTATTCTTTAATTTTATTCTTTGATGTGTTACATCCATTTAAAATGTTAAAATCTATAGTGCTGCGATTTAAAATGTTAATCTATAGTGCTGCGATTGTTTGATATTTTGAAACCATTGTACTAAAAGTCTTATTATTACCTTGTGACATTTATCATGCTAAAGTTATTTGTAATTTTGCGTTCATTATTCTGAAATTATTTTACACTCATTCTACAGCTATTTGACATTTTACGTTCATCATGCTAAAAAGATTCGATGTGCGACCTATCATGTTGCAGCTGTTTGACATTTTGAATCCATTTAGCTAATTTTTTTTACTTCATTTATTTATTTTTTTAAGTTTTTAAGTAAACATCTAATATTAAAATTTTGTAGTATAATTGTTTCACTCTTCACTGATGATTTAAGCTTGTAAATAAGTTTTGTCTTAATGCTGCGTTTCAAATTAAACTACTATATTCTTCCCTGGAAATGTGAGTTTTTAGTTGACAGATGTTATAAATGGGGAGTAATAGTTTCGAAATTTAGGAAGGAAATTAATTAAATTCGCCAAGATGCACTCCACAGAAAAACTGTCAACAAATGTGTAAACATCTCTGAGTGTTTTTAGCACCTTGGGTTAACCTTTTAAAGAAAAAATTCTTAAGTTTGGGGTGAAAGAACGCTCCATGTATTTGAGCCCAAATCTCTTTATTGAACAAGTGTCTATTGTGTTGACAGAATCGATTAGTTTCACTCACATTGACTCACATGCTGTAAATGTTTAGAAGTTCAGAATGTTTATCGAGATTCCAGAACATTATAGCGTTTTTATGCTATTTTATCAGTTACCTCTTTTACAGGATGCTGTAAAAGAGGCTTCAGCTGTCACAATAAACAGAAGACCGCTTACAGAAACTCTCTAAAGACTCAGACATTTCATGATTTACTCTGATTTTCTATAAATTTATTGCTCCTCTCTAAATAGAGTTTGATACTACATTGTAAGAAATTCCGAACTATTGAGGTAAAAAGTACCGACACTCAGAGATGCTAAGATGTTAGGTGTAGGTACTTTTTACAGTAAAATCCATTTTTACTGGATCATCGAAACAAAAAGTCTGATATACCATAGTTTTTTACAGTAATAATACCGTAAAATCGCTGAATCACTCTTAAATAAATATTATAGCAAAAATTACTGTCTAATATTTCACCGTAGAAATGGATTTTGCTGTAAAATGAATTTTATGTATGATGTACCTAAAGTGCTGATTATTTATACTGTAATTTGATTCTGAATTTTTTACAGTGTAGGCCTGAATGTGACACATGGTATGTTAGTGCGGAGAGGCAGCGATATACAAAAGTGTAGTGCTTCATGCATAAGATGTTTTAGTTTTCTGATAACTTTTGTACTTTAAAGGCTTTTAAAGATATGTGTATAACATTGGAGTTATGAATTTTTTTAACAATAATATTTTTTATCAATAAACATATTTAAATTTTTGATTTTTTATGCCATATTTGTGGTTTTTGTCACCAAAAGTCATTTTATACTATTTTGGATATTGTTTATATTTTTCGTGAAAATAGTACCGAGAAAAACTTTCAGTCTGGCTAGTACTTTAGAATTGCAATGTCATGTTCTTGTATTGAACCTATACTGATTGAGACATTTTCAATTTATTTCAGAGACAGAGTGTTCGAGCAGTTCCTATCACAAAGATAAACTATTATTGCAAGGGTAAAACAGGTGAATTTTACGTGTATGGAATTGAGAACAGTGTGTATTTTAAAAACTATTCTGAACTGTTGGATTATATCAGCTGAACATCTATCCCAGTGCTATAATTAAAACATATGTTAAACCATAAAAGAAAACATTGCCTTGGATTTTATTGGCTTGAAAGAAACTTAACAATACAATGAACAATTATTGGAAAACTATGATTAAATAATCATAAATAACCTATCTTTTGAATTCTCATCTTGACCCATAACCCATCTTGAGAAATCTCAGAATAAAATGAAATTTTTTGTACTTTTCTTAATTTATGTACTATAAATAAATGTGTTTTATTGATACTACTTGATTTCCACAGCGACTACTGTTAAAACGACGCCAAGAAAAACGTCATGTTAGTAGTGTGGCGGAACTACCACTACGAAAATTAAACATCAATTCACTCGTATATAAGACATGCTTGATTCAATCACGTGGTATCTTTTGTTAGATGAAGGTTGGCATCGTCGATAACTCCGCCCACCCCCACTTTGGTGACCTCCGGACGTGATTTGAACACGCAATGACGCCCACTTCAATCTGGTAACGTCTACTTCGTTGGGTAATCCACACTGAACAGTTGACTTGCTACTTGTGACTGCAACATAATCAACCTCCTCACGCTGTTGCTACTCAGTCTCGTCTCGATTAAACACAAACACTCGACAGCTAATGGCCACACAGGAGCGACTACGGCTGTGAAGTTAATACGCATCTCACATTCAGCACTCAAAAACCAGGTGACCTTAAAATCAGCTCTCCCGGTCTTTCACAAGTACAGCAACTAGTGGTATCCGTTCATCGAATTCTATCCCTGATAAAATTCTGGTGGGGGAGTATTGTGGCGTAACTACCACTACGAAAATTAAACATCAATACACTGGTATATTAGACATGCTAACTTGATTAAATCACGAGGTACCTTTTGATAGATGAAGGTTGGCATCGTCGATAACTCCGCCCCCACAGTATTATTCGTATTTAGTTTGTGGTTTCCATTATCACCGGGATTGCTATCAATATTAAATCAACAAGCTTGTCTTTCCCACATGAATTTCGCCAAGATAAGGCTCTAGAAGATGACGAGGAGTGTCTCTTGGCTTTTTGTTCTTAACGTAAAAAAAAGGCTATTTCCTTTGTTGACGACTTTTCACATTGAAACCTTCTCAAACTTTCCTTTACACAGAGTTTCATTTTGGGTCCATTTAAGCTTACTCAATAGCGAGGTAGAGGTAGTACCTTTTTTTCCTGGAAAAACGAAATGGCATCTTCCTCGTTTATCGGTAAATTAAAAATCGTCAACTCTTTTTTTCAATGTTCAAATAGGCGGAAAAAAATTACTAGATCACGCGGTTTGAATGCAAAGCCTAAATGGAACTGAAAGTGTGAATGGTTATTCTTAGTTTGGCCACTTTTGGATGTTCTTTTTTACATGATTCGACGGTTTATGGCGATCGTCGTGAAAATGAAGCATCCTTTTATTATTTTGAAAGATTTTGTCATGCCAAGGTTCATAAATAATCTATAAATGTTACTTACTTTTGGTTTAGATTCAATAAATAAGTGTCATAAATACAGTAAGGTGTAACAAGAAAAACTGTTTTTCCAATTTCAAGTGAATTTTTAAAAATAATTAAAAAATAATAATATTATTTATTTCTAAAATTTTAATCATATGTATTGATATTAGAAACCTAATTAAATATTTGCGAACTATAAATTTTCAGGGTACGTTGTGTGCAAAGTTTCATTAAAAAATATAAAAAGATTTTAAAGACTTCTAATTTTAAAAACAAATTTCAAGATTTAAATTTGACTCGAAAATTTAAATTTGTTTGAATCAATTACAAATAATTTATTGTTTTTTCTTAAAGCATAAATAATACTAATGACAGAAGAAAATAAGGAGACAAACATACTTTAAAAAGGAAAAAAAAAGCTGTTTAACCTATAGGGAAAGAGGAATAAACTCGAGCAAGATAATAATAGAATGAAGATAAGAAACTACACCAGTTTGCATAATAATGAAAAATATATTATTTCAAATACCAATGAATATAGGATAACTGTGCATTAAGGTATTTTCAATAGACATACATATAAGAACTATAAGTCCGCTTGGCCAAACAAGATCGGTGATAATAACCTCATGTTAGTGATAATAACAATATTATCACTAATATGGTACAATACTAAGAACTGCAGTTGAAAGTTTATTTCCTACTTTTTTTCACATTGATTTAAAAAACCAATCTCTTTTAATGATTAACTTAATTGTTCATCGAAATTTTTAAGTAATAATATCATTTTTAGTATACATTTTTAGATTTATTTTCTTCGTAATTACAAAAAGCACGCTATTCATATACCATGTAGTCATTAACATGCTATATTTCAAGAGGTCATGACTAAGTTTACGAAATAGTCATAAAATTAGAAATAGATAAACTTTTACTACGTGTCCTTGTAAAATGCTTCCTGTTGGAAATTACCTCCAACAGTTCAAGCTTGTATGTCCATAAAATTGACAAGTTTAACATAGAAAAAACTCAATAACGATCAATTCAAGGTTTTCATCAATTGGAGGGCTTCATCATATCCCATGGAAGAACAATATCCATTTGTTAGGTTTGTTTTCATTAATGTCCTTGAAACGAAACGCTATTTTTAACTCTCAAACAAGGTTAGAAGTTAAGAGAGCTATAACTTTCTCGTCAAACCTGTTGCACTTTTAGGATAAAGCAGAAAGAATTATATAAGAATTTTTTGTGTACAAAATAATGCCTTTTATTTTTGTTTTTAGAATTTCGCCCACAACGTGTCAAATCGTAAGCAAAAACTGGATGTTAAAATTTTTTGCAAATATTTTTGTCTTAACGTCTGATTAGATAGGTTATCATATCATATTTCACCTGTGGTAAGAAGACTGTCAATCTACTGTTAGTGATAAATTGCTTAATATTTGACGAGTAGAGAATACTTTTTCTCTACGATCGCTAAAAATGGCGATTTTTAAGATGCACAGTTCACCTATTTGTCCAGCTTGCCGCTCAGTATTAATGGCAGCTGATTACCTGAGATTGGAAATCGATGTGATCAGTTATAATTTAAGTACAGGGGAATTCAAGACCCCAGAATATAAGAAGGTATGTACTTTAAAATTTTGTTATTAAAATATTGCTTGTTTAATTTAAGAGTCATAGTATTTAAATAATTGCAAAATTAATAAATGTAATTATTCTATGTAATTCTATGTTGTTTCTATGTTGAAAAATGGTAATTCTATAGGTAATTCTATGTTGAAAAATGAATACCACTGTCCTAAATTTTGGAAATTCAAAATGTTTGAGGCGTTTTTTTTCTTCATATTTTTAAATAATTTTCATTTCGCAATCTAAGCAGTAATCTTATAAAATTTTTTTAGTAATTTAAAATTATCTTTTAAAATTAGTTTTATCTTATTATTTTTAAAACCTAATTTATTTTCATATTTCAATTTTTTAATCACGGGAATTTCTTTAGGTAGCAATACTGACATTGCACTTATGCGTTAGATCTATTGTTTTTTTTAATTAATATCTAAGTGCACCAAAGACTAAAAAGAAATAAAAACCACAATTAACCAGCAACTTACATGCAACAAGAAAATAAGTTATACTTTCTTTTTATCCCAACGAAATTGCTTTATTGTTAACATTTTTATTGTCATAGGATATTTTTAGAGTTAAATAGATAGAATAAAAAATATGGCGACAACACTAGATTGTGTAAATATTAACAATACCTAAGATTATGAAGTTATCAAAATTCATTTAAATAGATGTGAGAAGGGTTAAATATGTTTTTTATAAACATCAGTAGTTATATTGTTGACTGTTTACTTTTAAACTCATTGCATTTTGCCACGCGTACTTAAAAACTTCAGCTTATGTTTATAATTTTTTTATAAATTCTTGGACAATGGCTCAATGTAACTAGTTAAAGTTAAAAAAAAACTAACATTATTTTACCTTGAAGTTCTTTGTTTTGGAATTTAGCTGTTTCATAAAACCAAAATAACATTTATTATGTATTGAGCTATGCGTAAGTGGTTATTGAGCGTCAAGTTCTTGCTCATTGAGTTCTGGCCGCCAAAGGTGGCTAGTTAAAATAAAATGCGTGAATAAAAAAGAAAACCATTTGGTAGTATTTTCTAAAAATCACATTTTAACTCTAACATAATAGAGGTTTTTGTAGAAAAAAGGCTTTTGAGGTTTGATTGGTTTACAAAAACCAATTTTAAAAAATATAACAATGCGTTGTTTACAAAACACATAGTCTAATTAACAATCGTCTTATTTAAATGATTTAGCTGAAAATGTTAGACATATAGCATATTTTTAGACACAAATTTTCTTTTGTTTAATGTCACGTGGTACATTTTGCCACAAGGTTCTTGAATTAAACTCTTGTAATAAAAAATTCACATGGACATAAGAAAATCTAAATTGCGGCAAATAGTTAAATATCCCGTAATCTCTTCCTAAAACTAAGTAAAAAGTCCCTTTGGCTCAAAAATAGAATTTTTATCGGGTAAGGAGAAAGAGATGGGACCAAAAAATTGCTACTTATTCCATTCTTTTTAGGGAATAAAAGTTTCCTAAATGAAAAAGAAATTCTTAAGTTGTTCAATATTTTCAATACTATACACTTTTGTACTGCCGTTAGTTTGCTAATATTTCCATTAAAACCAATTGAAATAATTAAAAGGTTTTTCAATGAAAATAGACGGTTTTAAAAAGTTGTGTCTGCATAATACTTAGAACTTGTTGCAAAAATTAATCAATTAATTGTTCACATTTTAAAACTGGTAAAACTATGCATATAAATAATTTATAAAAAATAATACCAATATGTTTTACAATAGGTATTTTATCTGGTTCTGTAAAAGAGTATTGAGATTTATGAAGGAATTCGGGCAACATTTCGTCAGCGTTGTCCAGTGTTTTTAGTACTGAGAGTCAAACATAGTTATACAAACATAGTAAGTCAAACATGAATAGTTATACTTTGAAAACAATTTTATAAAACAATTTTAACTGAAAACAATTTTATAAATAGAGTTTTTTTTTTAATTTTTGACACTGAATAATAAACACTGACTGATACACATTTTAAATATCTTTCGAAGATAATTTGAGTTGAAAATTAATTTCTATAATAATTATCTTCTATTATTAAATCTAAATAATTTGAAACAGTTTGAAATAAGTAAGGTATAAAAATTTTAATACTTTTCAATTTACGTGTTTTAATTAAAAAAAATCCAATTTATAAAGGAATCAGTCGAATTGTTTTTTCCATATATAAAAATTAAAAATGCTTTTCGATGTCAAAATATGCAAAAATGAAATCAATTTTTAGGAATCTAAACTTCAGATCGCTCTTCTGATTAAACCATGGAAACATTATGTACTAGACTGTAACATTTTCTCATATTTTAAAGTTCAAGAATCCGTCGGAAAAAAATATCATTATTCAGAGAAAATATTTTTTGTGTCTAATTTCGTAACCGTAAAAATCACCTGCACTATTAAATAAATAATCACAAGAAAGAAGAGTGGTAAGATATTATCTAATTAAAAAAATCATTCGCTTCTAAAATATGTAAAGAGGAAATAACAGTCGGCATATTGCAAGTGTTCCAAAACAAGTGTCTCCATTTGCAACACTTGTCAGACTTGTATGAAAAGAAAATGTTCTTTGTTTTCTTCTCCTTGTCATTTGGCAAGTTTTGAAAATGGGTGATTGTTTTTGAGAGCTTGAAATTTGTCCTCTGTTATTTCCTCTTTACATATTTTTGAAGCGAATTAAGTTCTTAGCCAGGAAATCGCCTGCACTAATTAATCAAAATATTTAGGGTTAAGCATTTGAACTATCATCTATTTCTAGTGTATTTTCCTTCGTTTGATACACTTTTCATTTTATTTTTCGCAACTAATTTAATTATTTTTTAACAAACTTAAACCAATTGTTCTTATTAACCAGATGAATCCAACTCTCACACTTCCTACTATCGAAGATGATGGATTTTATTTGTATGAAGGGTAAGTTCATTCCTGTTGAAGAATATTGTATGTTTTCTAGCAATCTGTAAATGATTTTCCCCCCTTAAGGTAACGCAAAAGAGTTTGCACACGATTCAACAAAGAAATTTTATAAATAGTAAAAATTTCTTTCTTTCTAATCTAACGACTATTAATGTTGACTACATTTGTAATGTACTCATTCTTCATTATAATTTTTTATGCTTCAAATTTAATTCCTAGGGGAATTTATGACCTAGTGGTATCATTAAGTAACCACGTACAAAAAGGAAATTCTTTAAATAATTATTATTCATTCATTATGTGAGTAAATCATTGAAATAATTTGATTTACTTTTTGTGTAAAACGTTTATTCATTTCCTCACGTTGCTGTTTTAAAACATTAGCGACAAGTCATTTTGTGATCTTACATAAAAATGCAAATCTTGAAGTTTTTCTGATAAGGAAGTTGACTACTTCGAAAACATTAATTAAATAAGTAAAACAAAGCTAGAAAAATATTGAAAGCACTATAATTTTCCGAAAATTCAATCATTTGGTCACTAAATGACCCTACTTTGTCAACCAAATTTTAAATAGTACAGAAAGTTTAGACGTGTAGAGTAAAGTTGCTGAATGGTAATCCGTTACTTGTCAGTTTTTTCAATAGATATGGTAGATAAACTATAACTATAATGGTAAAATATAACTATATAATAATGATAATAAACTATAATGGGGTAGATAAAACTTATTAATAATATGTATATTTCAGTCGAGCTGTTCTGGCCTACATGTTGAATAAATATGCTCCAGAAAGTCCTGTTTATCCAAGCGACCCTGCTGAAAGAGCTGTAGTGGACAGAATGCTTTATTTCGATAGTGGAACACTCTACAGAACTCAGTGGGGTGTTATGGTATGATTCTAGATTTTAAATTAAAAGTATAATCTTATACTTTTTAGGTAACTCTAAATTAAGAACTCACTTGTAATAAAGGAAGTATCAGAGTTGTTGCTTTCAAATTAAGCTCATTGTTTATATATTATTATTATTATTCTTTTTTTATATAAAGCATATTGTCTACTTTGAATCGGTGGAGATACAAATTAGAAGCGAAAGTGTAATAGTTAAGGTGAAAAATTTGGAGAAAATTTGATAAATGAGCAATAAATATTGCAGTTAGACGAATCATGCTTAAAGATGATTTAAGAATATAATTTTAAAATTAAATGATTGCTAATTTGAGTTTAAATTGAGTGAAAATATCGTTAAATCATNCTAAGCGAAAAAAAATGTTCAAAATTCTCAAATGGAAAATAAATTATGTCTGTTGCGACGGACTCAGGGAAAATGCAGATATGCATTCCCTAGCTTATTTCAAATATATATATATATATATATATATATATATCCAATTTATTACACCTAGGCGTCACTTTTACATTTGGCATCATTTCTATAGTTGTAGCCGTTCTGTAGTAGTAGGCTTGTGAAGAGGTGGAAGAGGTATGTACGTAAGATGAGAAGTAAAGCTGGGTGTAACTGCGACTCTGGGATACAATGTCTTGTCAAAAAGGTATTTATACAGTGAGTAAGCAGAAGGCAAAGGTAGACCAATATGTCCTTAAACTCGTTTTAGCTGGCAGGAGCTCATTGATTGATATTGCAGGACACATTTGAGGCTATTGTTCACTCTTTCAATTTTTTTTTACTTTAGAATGTATTTAATTCAAATTGATTGTAATATTAACAATTTGCCATCAAATATTTTACTAACAATAATGCATTTAAATAATATTAATACTTTTACTCTTGATTAGAAATTATTTTCATTGTCAGAATACTTGCCTTTGTCTTAAATACTTACATATTCTGCAGACATAAAAGCTTCGTTTTGGTTTTGCTGGCAATGGCAGTAATTTTGGTGTTGTCCTCAACATTTAAAATCGCGCCAAGCTTGTTCCGTCAAGTAAGATTCTACCGATAATAACGCTATTTAATTGGAATTAGATATAATAATCAATAATTAAAATGATAAACTTTACAGTGAAATACAATTAAATATTTACATTTGTTCAAATTTAAGTGTAAAATAAGTACATTTTAATGCTTGCTCATGATAAGCACTACATACCAAAATATAAGAAGGAAAGCATTTTTTTTCATGCTAAGTGATAATTTATCTTTAAACTGCGTTATAGCAATCAGAAGAACTATATTGCATTTTACAATAATCATCGTTAAAATTTTAATGATGAAGCTGTTTTTTAGACGTATTTAAAGTAACGCATTTAAAAATATTCATCTCCTAGAATTAAAAAGTAAAGTGAATCAACTATCAAATCGAACAAGCTAAACAACCATTCCTAAAGTATGTACTCGAACAAGAAATTTGTATTAAAAGCATCATGCATAGAAATACTATATGGTACAATAATAAAAAACTTACTTACCATGCTTATAGATGCGTCATTCACTGAAATTTGTCAGCCGTTCGTTTTTAACTGGAACTCGGTTACGTTACAGTTACGTCTGGTTGAACCACGGATGTAAAGAAAGCACATCAAGCTTATTGCAAGACATTTTGAATGGTATACCTGCACGTCATGTAGTGTGCGTATCTCGACTTTTATTGTTTGTTGTGACGTGGCGTTTGCTAACGTTATCAACTGTTATTTCCATTCTATTTTGAGTAAGCCAAGACCGTCAAGTATCAATTCTCTTAAATGAAACATTCCAATTTTTTTCAAAAAGATTTAAAATCACTTAATATTTCTTACTTAACACAAAGCCGGGTACGAAGCCAAGAAGAAACAATTATGCATCGAAGTTACCAGGTGCACAAAATAAATACATATCACAGTTATAATAAATTACGTAAACAAATAATACATCTAATTTAAGCAAAAGAAGAATTACATTTTAACAAATTCGATGTGCTATATTATTGCGATGCGTTGTATTTAATTAGCTTCACATTAATTAATATTCTAACTTCTGCGGAGAGACTTAGTTCGACTTTAACACGCCACCTTGTTCATAAGCGATCAGCTGACATTAAGATCATGAGTTACATGTATGGGTATCAATAATATTCTTTTTGAAGTGCCAATACTTAAATGAATGGAAATCTTCGTGAAATCCGTAAACCATTCTTTGTTGGTTGTAGATTTCATGATTTTTTGGATGAAACATTTATCTATTTTTTTAACAGTTATCTTTTATGGACATAAATAATTCTTTTTCCATGGTCTTCATTTAATTTTTTAACTTATTCATCTCGTAATTATTTTGTTTAATTAATATTTTTCAGACGCCCATGGTGTATCAAAATAAACCTGCAGATCCTGAAAAAGTGAAAGATTTTGAAAATACTTTCAAATTGCTGAACGGCTTTTTAGAAAAAACGGCTTACGTTGCAGGAAATCACATTACCATAGCAGATTTTGCCATCGTTGCGAATTTATCATCCATTAAGTTTGTAAGTGAAAAAGTTTTTAATATTTTTTGTATATGTGTAGGGATTAATTTACATCTCATAATAATGTTTGTATGAACTAAATTTTATTGAACTAAAAAATTAACCTTATAAAATTTTTTTTTTAAAATTTGTAGTTATCTATATAACATTTCTTTCTATATTACAATCAAAAGATTAAAGAGACGTAATATTTTACTTTTCCTAATAATAATAAGTGATATTTTAAAATATTAACATTTATCCAAAACTATATTTTACTTCTAAACAATAAAAAAATCAAGACTAAAAAAATCGATTCATAGACAAAAACTTGACTTAGAATGTTTTTGAATAATAGCTTGAATTTTCCTTAACTGGTATGTTAAGATCATTAGTCAATCATAGATAAATGCTTAAAAATTAATTATTATTCCTACTTCTGCTTAATTTTTATTTTGGAATTATTTTTCTGTATTGTAAGTTCAAAATAAATAATTATATGAAGCAAGTTCTTAAGCATTAAGTAAGATTACAAAATTCCACAAAGTAGAAAAACTGATCCGCGATGGCACAAGGGAGAGAGCATTCGTCTTCCAATGAGTCGACCCAGGTTCGAATCCCAGCAATGGCTGATTGTTAAAAATTCTGCTTCCGTCTAACACAGACTACATCACTGCTGCAAAATATCCTCAGTGGTATATCGAGCATGGGTTAGAATTCCTTTGCCGTCTTACTAACCATAAGAGGTTTGTGTGGTTTTCCCTTCCATAAACTGTACTTGCGGATAAGTTTCATCAAATCTCCTCAACGAAGGTCCCGTTCGCCACAATGCTTGATCCTGGAGTAGCCTTATCTTCTGGGTCGGGCTTAAAAGTACAAGGCTACGGAGTTGAACATTGATAGTCATAAAATCAGAATGGTTTAACACCGATTATGAAATATAGTTAAAACAAGTAGAAAAGCTGTTATTAAATAGATTCATGTTTTCTTTTTAATTAAACTTAGCTTTAGCTCTATTTTTTACAGGGTACTAACCAAAGTCCCAAGCTAGCATTTCAATTTTTGATCGACTGCAACTATAGTTCTGAAAGTAATGATATCTAGTAAAATGGGACTGCTTATAGCATTATCTTGTAGTAATTTTGTAGTAACATAGTGTTATTTTTTTTGTCGTATGCCTGTTTAGGCAGCGGGGGTGCGATTGTTCCTGTTTTTCAGTGGCGCCATCTATGGCCAGGAATTCGACTTCTGCCACGCCATTCACACAACCGCAATCCATTTATAGGCCGGGTCGCATTCCTACACAAAGGAGAAAGGACATAGAACACACACAGAGAGAGAAAGAAACATCCATGCCTTGCCCGGGATTCGAACCCAGGACCTTTCTGATGCAAGGACAGTTCCCTGCCCCGTGCACAGGCCGGTCGACGTAACATAGTGTTTCTATATAGAAATCATTACGAGATTTTGTTAAAAAGGATTTTGAAGACTTTGAGAGCAGCATTGCTTTAATACTGATATACTCATTGTGAACAATCTCGCTGAGGAAAGAACACTTAGAATACAAATATATTTGTTTCAAAGTATTCGTACTTCGTGACAAAATGATCTTAAAATGGGAAAAACATGAGGTACCTGTATTTTCTCTGCACAGAGCTTCAGAAAGTTCACTTTGATCTGAAATTTCGTATCGTTTTCGAAAGAGAAACACTAACATCGCAATTTACCACTTAGTTTATATTGTAAGCGATCTCATCTTGCAGTCAATGGAATGAAATAAACGAGAACTTACAAGTGATATCCTTTTCATACAAAAATGATTTTTTTTGCAGTAGATTTTTTTATTCTAAGCCATATTTCATTAACATATAAATTTAAAAAAAGGTTATTTTTTTATTAAAACTCTTAAATCCTTATTGTAACATATAAATTTAAAAAAAGGTTATTTTTTTATTAAAACTCTTAAATCCTTATTGTTTGAATTTATTTATAATATTCATGCCTTTTTTTATACTTTTACTAAAGGAATATCTTTTTTCGCACCAGGTAAAAACATTAGGCATAATCAATTAATCGGTCTTAATCAACGCTACGCAATGGTGCACAAAACTGAAATGAAAACTAAAATAATCCCAATACTTTTTATTCTTATTTGTTGCCTAAACTTTACGTTATTAGTTTGGACAATGCACGTTTATTGAAATTGAACCTATTAAAATAAAGAGTAACTGTATTCAGCCCTGCTTTTAGGCTGTCGAAATTTATCACGTCAAGCAATTGTCTCGATTAATTTTACTCTTCAGTGAGCTACTGTTTTTTTTAAAATCTCAATTATGATTGATTTCAAATTTATGTTTTACATTTCAAAAGTGTGTTTTTTTAAGGGGAAATTTCCGTATTGTGATCTGTGGCTGGATAATCTTCAATTCATGGCAACTTCCGGGTAGCAGCTAGCAAGAAACTAAAAGAAAAACATCGCAGACTGGGAGGGTATAACTCGTAGCCACCTCCGGGCAAACCTCGACATTTTTTCTTTTTGATTTTTTTTCCATTTAAAATCAGTTTGGCGCTTGCGATTGCAGTTGGTGTAGCAGATATCATGATACAGAAATATCCCTAAAATAAACTTGTCGTTTTGGATAATTTTTAAATCACTATTTCGTTAACGTCACAAACGTGAGGGAAACTCGAATGTGATCAAGCAGAGCTGTAAGCTCGAAAAAATGCCAAGTGTTAACTTTTAATTATTGGAAAAAGACGCAATCGTCCAACGTCTAGAATGTTAAATTGGTGAATAAAATTCACTTTTGTAACATCCCTTTCAAATAGACCAATTAAAAGTTTTGAAGGAATTTTAGTATTGGTGGTTAAATTCTTGCAACAGTCTGTTCAAATTTCAGTACCCAAGCTCAAACAATTTGGGAGCTATAAGAGAGACTCACACACAGAGACATGAATTCTTATTTTCATTCTTATTTTTATGTAACAAAATGGCTGCTCAGAGGAAGTTGACTTATGGTTCTAAATCAAAGATTTTGACTTTGACAGATATTTGAACGAAGAACGAGAATGAAACTTCTGAACGAGAAAAGGAAAAAAAATGAGGTTAAAATATACTTGAGGGTGCCCCTTGGTGAAATTGGCGACTTATGTATGGCGCCATTCCTATTTGAGCGGAACACTGTGGTAACAGGAATGGCGGGTAAAACTTTATAAAATTGTAAGGAACCCAATATAAGCAAGATTAATTAACACAATAAAATAAATTTTGAATCAAAACAAAAATTAATGGAGTAAGCACAGAAAAAAAAGGAAAAGAAAAAAACTCACTTCTTCATTAAGCTTGATATCCTCAGATCATGCACAGAATTTTCTAATAGCAGTTAGATACTGTCTAAATTTATCATGAATAGAATCTGTGTACCTCCATCGCCACATAAATTCGGCGAAATAAGAATCGAAAATGGCGTCCGTGGTACCGGACTGGCGGTGACATTTTTTTTATAGTCCCTTTTTATGACTGCCCACATAAATCCGATCTTATTGACCCGAAGCAAAGGTAACCTTACCAGCCGATATCCAACGTAGAACTAACGGACCTCTGAAATTACATATACTGTGGAACATTTAAAAATAAAGCTGAAATCTAAACCTATTAGAATCACGATTGGGTTTCAACATCGCCCAGCTTGGCGATCAACCGCGATCGCAACTTGGCGTCCCGAGAATAAAGGGGCACCCTCAAATATAGTCTACCCAAAAATGAAAAGAAAAGAAGAACTTTACAAACATCAAGACTATAAAACGAATTTTCTCCACATAGTTAGTGCAGTTTACTGATAAGATGACATTATGTTATACTAGTCTGATGATTGCCAAATGTGATGAAAACATTTAAAACTTTTAGCTTAGATTATTTTAATTCTAATCAGTAAATAAATATTTGATATTTTTTTAACGATATCATTATCATTTTTGAGACATTTTAACATTGCTATACTGTTAATTAATTTACAATTTATTATTTCTTTCAGTTCCCGTAAGTCTATTTTCTCTCACAAGTTGTCAACCCTCAACCAACGGGAAGATTTTATCCAATTTTTCACTATTAAAAAAAATCATTAATAAAAAGTGTAGTTTTCAATTCATCGAGATAATAAGCAATAAAAGCTTTTTAATAGTGTTAATTTTGAAGTTTTTTATAACGTTAAGAAAATAAGCGAAAAATATGTTTGTATTAACGGATGAAACTTCCCTAGTTCTTCTACGGAAATTGAAAAATTAAAATTCTTAATATATTATATATTTATAAATAAAATGTGCATGATAAAAAAATACAAACAGATTTCATGACCTGTAGAAAAATGTTAGTCATTTGAAAAACAAGCATTATGAATTATCGAGCTGTTGCTTTAGTAATTACTGCGGACAAAATATCCCGTTTCTAAAAATAGATGTTTTACCCTTTTCATTGGATTTCGCTTCATATAAAATTTAAATTTGAAGATATTGTAACTTTACTGATTTAATTTATTGTCATGATACATTTTAACAAATTTTCGCTTTTTTTTGCAGTGGTTGGATTATTCATTTGATAAATACCCAAAAATATCTGCCTGGATGGCAAAAATGAAGAAAGAAGTCCCATCCTACGTGAAAATCAATGAGATTCCTGTTAAGGAATATAAAAAAGTCTTAACAAAGAGACTTCAGTCAAATAGCAGTTGAATATTGAAAAAAGAAAACGAATGTATTGTTGAAAGATTTAGTTGTTAAAAAGTAGTTTGACAACTTATTAAAATTTAATGTAATATTCAAACTTTGATCAATGTTTATGTACTTATATATTATATATATATACATACATAACAACAGGACTACATCCCTGTTATCATTGTTAAATTCATCTTTAATAATGCAGTCAAAAGCCATAATACTTATAAAAAGATTTATTTAAAGATAGGCAGGTGGTTATAACAGTTCCCATCCCCACTCCACAAGGGAGGGGGTGTGGACGAAACTGGGGATGGCTCCGGCAGATGTTTATTGGAACACGTTATTCAGCAAGAGAAATGCGAAAACAATCGCTCCCTCATTAAATACTTACAGATTTTGATGTAAACAGGTTCCAGTCGTACATACCTTTGTAACTCTACGCATTATGGAAAATCATTTAATGCTTCCTAATATGGAAGTGGAAGAGGGACAAGATTCTAAAAATAACTCCTCCTTTGAAATATAAATCTAATTATAATTCAAAGGTATGTTTTCAGCCTTGAAGTCCCAAAATAGAATTTCTACACCTATTCTTTACCAAAGACATTTTATGAAAACGAGAGAATTTTAATGTTGTTATTAATACACAAGTATTTTTAATTTTTGCAGTACATATATATGGGTCATTCTCACAAAAACAGTCATTTTCATGTCCCCAGTGTATTTTATGTTTGTTTTACAGCTTAC